AAAAAAAAAAAAAAAAGAAGCAATGACAATATTATAAGGAAATCACTACTATCAAGAGATCGGACCAAAAAAAAAAAAAAAAAAAGAAGCAATGACAATATTATAAGGAAATCACTACTATCAAGAGATCGGACCTAACTAGTCAAAGAGGTCTATTTTTTTTTTTTCAATTACATGTGTTTTCAATTCTAATTCAAGATTAGCCCCACCAAAACAAACAATTTGAATTATTTTCTGAACATGAAGTACCAACTAGCTGGACACCTTTAATTTTTCTTTTTTATTTAATATATCTATACAATTTTTATTAATTCTCCTATTTAATATTGACTAAAGATTCAATATAATTATAAATATCATAATAAAAGGAACATGTCAATTTTCACAATTCATTATAAATTTATAAAAAAATCCGACAGAATTTCCCATAAAAACTATAGTTTCCTTCTGTAAACAAAGTATGAAACTACGTTCAATCATATATATATTTCCAGCGATAATATTCAATAAAATTAAAATGCAATATGATTTCATTTAATTTAAATAAATCTTTAATATGAGTAAGAATGAAATAAAATATCAATTAAATTAACCCCTCAAGAAATAATACAGACAAAGAAATAAAACTCACAGTGTACTCCCGGGCCTGCTCATCAATATATATTGGCATTTAATCTTTTTCTTTTGGATAATGCATTTTTTTTTTGCACGAATCACATCAACGAATGATAGATCCCTATGCTCAGAATCTATTTCTTCTTGCAATATCACATATTCAATTACTGTGTTAATTGACACAAACATTACAATTAACATTAAGATTAATTATTATATAAAGGTTAAAACTCCTTTTTGGTCCCTGAACTATTGTACGGACCCCCGATTTGGTCCCTAAACTAAAAAAATCCCTGATTTGGTCCCTACTGTTTACCATTTTTACCCCGATTTAGTCCTTCCGTTAAAAATCTAGTGACGTGTACTGTTAACTAACGGGAACACAATGACATGTTATATAGTAATCCACGTGGAAGATAATATAGTCCAAAAGTGATCATGTGGAAAAAATAATAATATAAAAAATATTATGAAAAATAAAATTTAAATTTTTTTTCTTTTTTCTTTTTTTTCTTTTTTCTTTTTCTTTCTCCTTCTCCTTTCCCTTTCCCTTTCTCCTTCCCCTTTCCCTTCTCTTTCCCCTAGGAACCCAGCAGGCCTGGGTTCCTTTGAACCCACCCAGGCGCTGGGTTCCTTGCGAACCCAGCGCGCTTGCCCGGGTTGGGTTCCAAGGAACCCAGGGGTTACGCCTGGGTTCCGTGGAACCCAGCGCCTGAATTCCAACCCACGCCAGAACCCAAGGGTAAAAAATATAGATTTTTTTTTTTTGTGGATTTGGTGTTTGATGATGATGTGTTTGATGATCATGAAGAAAGCAAGGCAAGGAAGAGGAAGGAAAAAAAAAAGGGCGTTGTTGGGTTCGATTCAACCCAGGTGCTGGTTTTGTTTGGTGCTGGGTTTGTTTGCTGGAGGAAGAAGATGATGGCAAATTTGTAATTTTGGTGGGCCCCACTTTTGTTGGGTTGGGCAAGGACATGACATGTCACGTTGCCATGTCATTATTTATTCATTTATACAACTGACGTGTCTCAAAGGTTTAACATGTCATTAAATTGTCGTGAGATAATGGTGAGATTTTAACGGAAGGACCAAATCGGGGTAAAAATGGTAAACAGTAGGGATCAAATCAGGGATTTTTTTAGTTCAAGGACCAAATCGGGGGTCCGTATAATAGTTCAGGGACCAAAAAGGGGTTTTAACCTTATATAAATTATGATATGAAACCTAAATAATAAATGTAACATTTTTACCAATTTTTGCACAAAGTCATTGTAGTCCATAGATCCACCTGTGTGGGTTACCCTGGGGCCTTTTGCTCTATTTAACTTTGCTTGCTCTCTGCGAGCATTGAACTTTGGGTTCTCAGTCTATATATACTTAAACTTATCCCAAATCTCATCAGACACGTATGGCTTTTTTTCTGTAAAATTTTTCTTTCTACATGACACCTGGATATCAGTTATCATTCTGTTATATCGATTCTCACAAACATTTAAAAATGCTGTATGTACAGCACCTTGCTTAGCTAGGTCCCACTCGTACATATTCTGAATATATATATATATAAGTTTAATATATTCACATATTAATTGATTTATAAAGAAAATGCACATATATAAATAAAAACCATATCATTATAAATTACCAACCTAAAAAGCTTACCAGTACACTTCTTTGTGCTCACGAGAAATTGAACCCCACCCTGTATATACATCACACATATTAGACTTAAGGATTATTGAAATATCATTTCGAACCTGTTTGGGTAATATCTTCCCATCCCAGATCCCAATGCTTAGCTTATGGGAAGGATCCTCTGGCAAATTTTGGGCTTTGGCAATACCTTGCCCTTTTTTGGGTTGAGGAGGCGAGGGTGCACTAGATCGATGTCACTGCCATTACAACATGTTTCCCCTTGGGTCTCCCACTGCGTCTCCCGGACAATGGTACTCGAAGATCCAATTCCTTGTGATTGATTTTTTTCTCACTGGCTTTTGGGAAGCAACGTCAACGGACTTGTCACCCCTACAAGATCTAGGTATGCAATTCACTACAAAGCAAAAAATGAATAATAATACTAGATTAGTATATGATTGGAAAAATTACATTAAATTTAAACTTAAAAAAAATTAATGAAATATGAAATTTAAAGACAATATATATATTAATAATTTAACATCACATTAAATTTTCTTTTTAAGTCAAACTACTTATATATCACTTAATGTTATAAAATGCCACATACATATACTAATAAATAATAACAAAATCTATTGAGTCACTAATTAATTAATCACTACTATTACTCTCAGAAATATATTCAATATTTTCTTCCTCAGATGTATAATAATCTTCAAATTCTTCTTCCTCCTCCCTATTGTCTTCCTCAATTTCTCTGTCATAATCCACATCCTCAATTTCAACATTAATGGCAAATATAGTCTCATCAGTATGCTGAATAGGTTCATATAATATAGGATCTGACATGGTTGGTTGAGCAGTTGGAGGGTCATCATCCTAAAAAATAGGTTCTTGATCATGATGTTGTTCCTCTTGTTGATCTGGCATCTCAATAACACTTCGTGCCTTACATTTCAATGCAGCAACCCATCCCTTTCTAATAGAATTTTGTAATGCATATGGAGTGTAATACACTTGTTTAGCTTGACTTGCTAAGATGAAAGGCTCATAAGTTCTCAATTTTCTATTTGGATTAATATCAACAAGATGGTGTTTTTGGTCAACCACAATTCCTCGTGCAAGAGGAATTTCATACCAATCACATTTAAATAGAACAACCGGCTGCTGATGTCTGGAGCCAACATATTGAAGCTCAATAACTTCCTGCAACAACCCACAAAAATCCAAATCTGACTTTGTTCTTGTGGTTCTCGTGACACATACACTTCTATTCATTGTTTTCTTGTTTTTTCCACATGAGGTAGTGTGAAATCGAAAACCATTTACCCAAAAACCTTTATAGCATTGAACTATCCAAGAAGGGCCACGAGCCAAGCCAATCAAATGCTCATCAATGCCTTCAAATTGATCACGTAAAACCTATATCATATGAGTTATTTTATTAGTTATTATTAGTATATAATAATCTATTAATAATAATTAAAATAAATGAGATTGAACTTACTGATTTTTCAAACCATGACACAAGACAATTGGAACGTTTTATCTTTTTGTTGGGGAGTCATATTTTGACATTCTTCTTC